TTCACATGTCTGAAGGAACTCAAACTGTAAGAAAGCATTATCAATGTAATATATGTGGGAAACATCTGAATTCTTCCACTTGTCTTCAAGGACATGAAGGAATTCATAGTGTAGAAAAACCACATGAATATAAACAATGTGATGAAGCCTTTAGATATAATAGTAATCTTCAAAAGCATGAAAATATACATACTGGAGAGAATCCTTTTGAATGTAAACAATGTGGTAAGGCCTTTAGACATAACAGTGATCTTCTAGGCATGAAAAAATTCATACTGGAGAAAAACCATATGAATGTAAACAATGCAGTAAGGCATTTTTAAGTAAAAGTCATCTTCATAGGCATGAAAAAATTCATACTGGAGAAAAACCATATGAATGTAAACAATGCAGTAAGGCATTTTTAAGTAAAAGTCATCTTCATAGGCATGAAAAAATTCATACTGGAGAAAAACCATATGAATGTAAACAATGTGGTAAAGCCTTTATATGTAAGAGAGATCTTCATGTACATGAAAAAATTCATACTGGAGAAAAACCATATGAATGTAAACAATGTGGTAAAGCCTTTAGATGGCACAGTTATCTTCAGTTACATGAAAAAACACACACTGGAGAGAAACCCTATACATGTAAACAATGTGGTAAAGTCTTCACACGATACAGTTACCTGCAAGTACATGAGAAAATTCACACTGGAGAAAAACCATACGCATGTAAACAATGTGGTAAGGCCTTTAGATGGCACAGTTATCTTCAGTTACATGAAAAAATTCATACTGGAGAAAAACCATATGAATGTAAACAATGCAGTAAGGCATTTGCACGTAAAAGTCTTCTTCATTGGCATGAAAAAACGCATACTGGAGAAAAACCATATGAATGTAAACAATGTGGTAAAGCCTTTAGATATAAGAGTCATCTTAATTTACATGAAAAAATTCATACCGGAGAAAAACCATATGAATGTAATCAATGTGGTAAAACCTTTAGATGTACCAGTTATCTTCATTTACATGAAAAAAATCATACTGGAGAAAAACCATATGAATGTAAACAATGTGGTAAAGCCTTTATATGCACCAGTTATCTTCATTTCCATGAAAAAATTCATACTGGAGAAAAACCATATGGATGTAAACAATGTGGTAAAGCCTTTAGATATAAGAGTCATCTTAGTTTACATGAAAAAATTCATACTGGAGAAAAACCATATGAATGTAAAGAATGCAGTAAGGCATTTACACGTAAAAGCCTTCTTCATAGGCATGAAAAAATGCAC